GCTCACAATCTACTTAGATTTAATAAATCACAAGCTTCTGAGTAAATTAGTGATATGTGAAAATATATGAATCAAAGACTCAGTTGCAATTCAATTAGTGTTCTTGTTCCTATAATACCGGACACGTCCGGTTGTATACCGGACACGTCCGGAATACACAGAACAGAAACACTGACTTTCTGTCCCTGGCCATACCGGACACGTCCGACAGTAATACCGGACACGTCCGATAGGTGTAGGACAGAACCAATTAATTCACTGCTTGTAATTCTTTATTTATCTCTATTATTTATTTGACACTTGCATCTCAACAAATAAATTGCTCTATTAGAGAATTATTAAAAACATCATATGGCAAACATGATAACTATCAAGTAAAGATAATGAGCCACTTTCAATATTTCACAAACATGCCTATTTGTGAGACATTGAGCATAAAGTAAACAAAGTGGCCATCCTATAAGGTTTAGGTTTAGGTACTTGTTATCAATGGTGAGGATGAAATACATGATATATTCATTAACTTATCTTTGGGTCAACCATATAAGGAATTATGATAAGAATTGGTTGATAGATTGAGTGAATATTATCAAATTGCTTGCTCAGCCACCACGATGCCTTCATCTCATCACCAAGTACCTACATCTTTAACCTAAGCACACTTTGGTACCCAACTCTTGTTGGGTCCTTTTGAGTTAGTCAACAAGTGCTTAGGCACCCAAATGGCTTTAGCACTAGTTTGTGGTGAACACATCATTTTGGAGAAGCACCGGCTCCAACTCGATAGACGTCGACATCCTTTTCTCACGGCGGTAAAGCTTTAGGTGAGAACCTTGCTCCGATACCAATTGAAAGGACCTAGGATGTCGCCTAGAGGGGGGTGAATAGGCGTTTCTGAAAATTAATACCTTTAAATACGGAAACAATTAGAAAGGGGAGTTTCCAAAATGGAAACTCCAAATTAAGAGTACTACCACCCCTCACAAGTTAGCCACAGAGTAAACAAGGTATAAAGAATATATCTAGAAGCTACAACCCTGCAACACCAAGTTAGAACAGAGAATAAATATTTTCAGTGCAGGCAGGAAATACCGGACGTGTCCGGTATGAATACCGGACGTGTCCGGTATACATGATTTCTGTAGATCAGCCCCGAACTTGCTCCTTTCGATTTCTATCTTCGAACCAAGCTGCAGGCACTTACTAGAGATGACAATATACACAGAGAACCTACACAAGAGCTAGAGCAACACAAATATCAAATGAAATGCGAATTAAGACACGATATTTGTTTTACCGAAGTTTGGACTCGTTCGAGTCCTACTCTCCATTGAGGGGCTACGGGCGACCCAGCGAAGGTCACTCTAGCCGGAGTCTTTTCCAACTCCTTTTCCTCCTTCCACTAAATGATTCCGAGGCGGCGGAATCGACCGTTACAAACTTTCCGAGGCACACCACAATCTCTCGGGTGCTCTCCGGCGACGCCTAACTGTCTAGGACCGAAGAGTCCAAGAGTAACAAATGCGAATCACGAGATTGACAATATGCACAAGTGCTCGAGTGGTGGCTTGCTCTCTTTTTCAAATTCTCTCTTAACCCACAAATTGATTTTGCAATTTGGATCACACACTCACTAAGAGAGGGTTTAAGAGAGTTGGCAAGGCTCAAAAATGTGTGTCTATCTCAGCAGAATCAGCAGCGTCCAAAGGTAGAGGCTTGGGGTATTTATAGCTCCCTTGAAAAACTAGCCGTTTTATAGCCGTTGCAATACCGGACACGTCCGGTATGCATACCGGACACGTCCGGTATGACTTACACTGTCCCAACGGTAACTTAGTTACAGTGAAGTTGTGAGGCGTCGGAACTCCCGATGAATGCCGGAACTCCCGACTCATGTCGGAACTCCCAACCCTCAGCAAATTTGAAAACCATGTAACTGAGTTAAAGTTAGTGAGGTGTCGGAACTCCCGATGCATGCCGGAACTCCCGACCGTCGGAACTCCCGACTTACGTCGGAATTCCCGACCCTCAAGGCTTTGGAAAACTAGCCGTTGGCCTCTGGTCGTCCATACCGGACAATACCGGACACGTCCGGTATGACCACCACAGTGAACTCTCCAAATTATTTAAATTGCGAGTCGTCGGAACTCCCGACCATTGCCGGAACTTCCGACCATCAGAACTCCCGACGAACCAACCCGAGAACAACACTTTTACAGTTACTGGGCAAATACCGGACACGTCCGGTATGCATCCCGGTATGGCCAGACCAGCAACAAGTCAGTTAGCTCTTTTCTCTCTCAAACACTCAAATCTCACATGGGTTGGCTTGAGCACTTATGAAACATTATCTATCAACATGATGCATCCCTCTTAATAGTACGGCATTCCTATTTACTCAAATTTAAAAGTATAACGAATTAAAACCTTTTGAGTTGCTCTTTTTGAACCGAAGCCGTGTATTCCAATCTTCATCAAGTGAGGGCGCCAACATGTTGATATTGATCTTTTTCACTTGAGCATAGCCATCTTGAGCACGTGACTTGATTCCATTCATCAAATTTGAATAATCCCAAATGTATCAAGTCACTTCTATCAAACACTCCAATAGTGATTTGATCCTTCACATCAATATGATCATCGTAGCTTGATTAGTACCTCAACTAAATGCAAGTACTTTCTTCTTCACCCTAGCTAGGTTCTTCGGCCGCCAAGCCGTCGCTTGTCCTTCACCCTTGCTTAGTACCTCGAAGCCTTTCCTTGATATCTTCATCATCTCAAGCCATCAAGTCACATCTTGTGTTGAATCATCCATTCATTTGTATTGTTGTCTTTTTCATTTTAATTTAGCAAGCTTCAAATATGAGACCATTCCATATGCAATCCCTTATGTCTCATTAATTAATTCTCACAAGCTTGCTTTTACATAGTACATGGAAATCCCACAATAAACAAGCCTTTGCATGAATTCCATTTGCATTGTTGTTTTGTGCTTGAACTAGATTGTTTATACAACAACACATTATTTTGGCTTTCATTAAGTACCTGTGAGATAACCTATCATCTGTCCACACTTAGCAAACGGGTTAGACCTTTAATCACGTTGTCATTCAATCATCCAAAATCCACTAAAGGGCTAGATGCACTTTCAATAGTGAGAAAATATGAAATAATAATTGCATGCCTTAATTTAACCGTTGGTCAAAATTAAAACATATAACTTTCTTATACATTAATTCTACATCATCGTTGGGCAGAAATGGAATTAATGCATGAAAAAACTTATGAATAAACATTATAATATTGCTATTATCAACATTGGTCAGAAAAATAACAATATTATAATTTACTGACTAAAAATAACTGATCTTCAAATTAAATTCTCCCGTTGGTTCGAATTTAATTAAAAGATGATAAACTTTAACATTGCAGCGGAAACATGAAATAAAAATTGTTTATCTACTTTTCAAAAGCATTTTACTATACTGATCTACTCTCTGAATTTTTTTTCCCGTTGGTTCAAATTTTGACAGAGATTGAAACTGGACAAAAACATCAAAAATTTGCTTCTGAAAAGAATAAAACAAAAACTCTATGTTTACTGTTCATTTGCCCCGGCTTGGAGAAACAGTCCGCGGCCCATCTCTTTTTCGTATCCGCGCGCGCGGCCCAGCGGCGGCTCTGCAGCGCACGCCCGCTCCCCCATGCCCAGGCCGCAACTTGGGCCTGGGCCGGGAATCTCCAATCCCGCCTGGGCCGCTTTCGGCCTGATTCGTTCTGAGCCGTCGATCATCATTCGACGGTCAGGTGTCATTCTCGTGAAACTCCTCCGCCGCGGCGGTGCGCCCTAACCCTAGCTCATTCGTGTTCTTTCTCTCCCCCTCTCTTCTCTCTCACCCGACGGCGTCCGAAACGGCTACGCAAGGCAACCGGAGGAGGAGTGCGGCGTCGCCGCGGGCCCCCTCGCCGGAGCGTGTGCTCCCCAGTGGGTGAGCGCGCCCGCCATCGAGTGGCCTTGCGTCGGCGCCCTGAGCCCGCGCGTCGGCGACCCAGCGTCGAGCAGCGGCTCGGCCCATTCTGCCTGCGTGACGACGGGTTTCTTCCCGCGCGACGGCGGTGGTGACGCGCGGCGGGGAGTCTGGGTAGGTGAAGGCGCGGTCGCAGTGGCAGCGGTGCAGAGGCGGCGGTGGCCAACTGGTGGGATTAATCTAACAAGGTAGCTGCTGCTATGGAACAGAGTCGCATCATGTGTCTTTTTGTGTCGGGACTCTTTTTCGTGACTGTACCGTTTGTGTCGGGATTCTAACGATCCTACAACCCCTATCACGGTACTAGTACTACGGCGAATCGGCGATTCAACCCAAAAACGAATAAACGATTCATGCAGCTCCGTTGCATTGCGGTGTTAAATAATCTGGCGCTGCCCAGATTGCAAGACATTAATTATCATGGCTACATACTTACATGGCAAGAGCATTCCATCACAGAGGTACCATTATTCTCAAGAAGAAAACAACAAATAAATTTGTATTCCATTGTAGGGTCTCGTTTTCTTTCTTTTGGTTGCAAATTGATTGCTTTATTTCACAACATTTAGATCTTCCTCGTTTCACAACATTTAGACCATAGATCACATCGTCGTCTCTTGCTCTTGCGCTAAGCAGGTTTGGTGGAGCATCAGCAGCGTACTCCGCCCAAACCAAGCGCTGCGAAACCGAGACAGCACCAGCGAATGGTGGGAGGATTGGAGAGCGCAGTGGGACAAGGCGCGGACTCAATCTTCGCCCTAGTCGCATGGGAGGAAAGGAACGCGATATGCTTCCGAGGCGCTGCCACCCAAGTAACCGACACTTCTAGCGCTCATCCAAGCATGAGGCACGCGCGTCGCGCGGAACAGCGGCGCCGGACGCGGGAAGCCAGTGGGCCTGCGCGCCAAAGAAAAGCTTCAGCCGGGTGGTTGTGGTTAATGGCCGGAGCTACACGATCGTGAGGCCGGCTACATGGGCCGGCGCGTACGCTACGAGTACGTTCTTCCGGGGCCCAAGCGAGCACGCGTCGACGCCGCCTCCACCGAGGCCATCCAGCGCCTGCTGCGAGAGGTGAGGGCGGGCGACGCGTCGCAGACGGAGTGCGCCGTGTGCCTGCAGGACTACGCCGCGGAGGAGACGATCAGGGCGATGCCGGTGTGCGCCCACGCCTTCCACCGCCACTGCATCTCCGAGTGGCTCAGCCGGAACGCCGTCTGCCCTATCTGTCGCTGCGAGCTGCCGCTGCCCACGCACCAGGACCAGGAGCAGGAAGAGGAGGACGACGAGGAGGACGAGCACGGCGTCAGGAGGAGTTGGAATTGGAGGAGAGTTCCAGTTTCAGCAGCAGCTGGGCGCAGCTGGTGAAAGAGGATTGATTAGCAGTCAGCAGTTTTGTGTTTTTTTTGTTTTTTGTATCAGTCATGTCCGTTCCTGTACTTCCTAGGCGATGTAATTCTAAGACTGTTAGTTGCTGTCTTATAATCTGCTCGTCGATGTAAATAAAACCAAAAAAAAAAGTCACTTTTCTCCCCTTTGTTTACAATGTCATGCACTTATACAGCTATGTACTTGTACAATGTCCAGTTGAGGAAGTATAATAAGAAGGAACAGAAATACAGAACCTTTAATTTCGGATGCCTTGCAGTCTTTTCAATGCATCCTTCAAGCTTGGAGGGACAGAAACACATTCCCACAACAAGGTTTTCTGAATGAAAAGGCAGTTTCAGAATAACCCATCTCCATCTGCTTCGTAACTGATACCATCCAAGTTTCAGACCAAATCAGTGCACTGCACACAAGAAGTTTTTTCCAGGCGCAATACTAGAAATTTGAGTTTCATGTGGCCACTATTCACAGGACGGCTAACAATGAGAACTCTGGACAGCATTTCCATTACAACTCACTATTACTGCGGCGAATTTACAGTCATTTCCAGTGTGCTCAAAGTACGTTTCTACATCCTGACTTTTGGTGGTTCTGCAAGGCCATCCTGCTTAACGATGTGCACATTCCATGCCTCAAAGATGCTGCTTCTTCACAGATTCCATGCCTCAACGATGTTTCTTCACAGATTCCATCCTGTTCCAAAAGTGGCAAGCAATCAGAAAGTTGGTTGTTATGGCCACAGCAAGGGGCAGAACTGGTCCTACAAATGCAGCTTTAAATCTCCTATAAAACTACAGCACCTAACCATCAAAACATTTGTCTCATCATGTTGTTATATGGTGTATCACACATAAATGCTGATGAATAGATGCACCCATGCAAAGGAGAACAGAAGTGAAACTTCAACATATCACGACCTTATTGCTGGCACATATCTATCGATGAAACACAACAGCATAAACAAAATCGTGAGCCTGTAATTGTAAGCATAACATCACTTCATTGTGTAGACAGGCCCCTAAAGAGATCACAATTCACAATGGCAAAGGGCTTAACAGAAGGTTGGGTAGGGTCATTGTGAGGAAATGAACTCATTTCGTGGCGCAGATTACCTTTTTGGCTTCATGACAAGTAGCTGAAGATGAGATGGGCCGAGTATCCTTTTTCTTGAAAGAGAATTGCGATACAGCATTTCAGTAAATGAAATGCACTCAGGCTCAAAATTTTTATATATCAACAAAACAAGATTAGCTAAAGGACCCCTAGAGTCCTGAATACCCTGTGCTTGTGAGTTCTGACAATGTGCTGGTGACAGAAGCGCGCCCTCTGTGGGCGTTGACCTAATACATTTGAATGTTGTATATAGCTTGCTATGAGCAACAAATGAGAACAATGAAAAGACAATTATATAATTCATAGTCAAATATATTTAATTTAACTAGAGAGATAGTATATCATGACACACATAGATGGCCATTTGTTATTAATTCAAAAGTTGTTATAGTGGTTATCAACATTAATCAGCAAGAAGTAGATAAAGATGCGTTGGAATTAGCATAATAACTATATTAACAGCGTAGAAGTTTTTATTCTAATTTGAAAAGTAGGTAGGCTTAGGTAGTGCTGGACTTCAATTGCATTGATCTTCAGCTGGAGTTGGACCAATTGAGGTAGGCTGTAAAGTCAAATTTTTATCACCTTATGTTTTGTTAAACAGATTAGAATAAGAATGTAAAGCTTTGACTATCTTTTTTTTACCCTAATAGCCAATGTAGGAGCGTACACATGGTGAATCACAGCTGCAAGCAACTGAGTCACTGAGCTATTTGAGCTGTCTGGAGTATGTATATATTTTAAGTTGTGCATGAGAATTTGCTTTGGAGAAAATGTAATGGCTCTATACCTGTACAATCTTAGGAACTCTGAACGAAATATGGCATAATAATAAAGTCACTGTTGTTATGTATCACATATGAATGTTTGAATAGATGCACTCATGAAAAGGAGAACAAGTGAAAAATTAACAGATCAGAGACCTTATTGCAGGAACACAGCTCTACCGATGAAATTAAACAGAACCACACTATAAAGTTTGAACACAGCATTTCGTTGTGCTGACCCCTTAAGAGATCACGATGGTATAAGGCTTACAGAAGGGTAGGTACGGTCATTATGAGGAAATGCACCCAGATCGTGGCCCACCTTACCTTTTTTGGCTTCATGACAAGGAGCTGAAAATGAGATGGGCCGAGTATCCTTTTCCCTGAAAGAGAAATGTAATTCAACAATTCAGTAAATGAAATGCACTCAGACTGTAACTTTTTATATATCAATGAAACAAGATTAACTAAAGGGCCCCTAGAGTCCTGAATACCCTGTGCTTGTGAGTTCTGACACTGTAACTGTATGACACACTTCACAACACAACTTCTTATAGTCGATATCACTATGTCGTTTTACTACAAGAGTGCAAGCGTTTAAGATATTGAGAACTGCAGCAATTCTATCATCTAAAAATAGTACCCCATCCATTCCAAATTATAAGTCGCTTTGGCTTTTCTAGGTACATAGCTTTTGCTACGTATTTAAACATAACGTACACCTAGGTGCATAACAAAAGCTATGAACCTAGAAAAGCCAAAACGACTTATAATTTGGAATGGAGGGAGTAAGATTTTCATATCAGTCTGGGTTTGATTCTACAGATCTTCACATTCTGTGCTGCATGTTGGATAGAATGGAGCAGTAGGTGGCTCTGAGTGCAGGCAACTGAAGCAAGCAGAAAAAGAGACAAGGAGCAGCAGCTCTGAACCTTCGGTTTATCAGAACACTCAACAGTAGCGTACACAGTTTCGACGGCACCCTTGGTTCAATATAGCAAACCAAAACATCAAACATCCCAACTGTAAGCCACTTATGATTTCTGGTTTGTGATTTGTGGTTGCCCTAACAGAACATGAACTTAGAGAAAGTACTGTATGTTGCAACTATGAGGCCATGATGCACTGCAATGACAATGAAATTTGCATGAAGTCTAAATCATGCCATCAGAGATATAAAGTAAATTAATACTATACTTGAATATTTTTTTTTTCTCGAACACGCAGGAGAGCTGGGTATCATTATATTAAGAAGAGAACAAAACATGGGGTAAGATCCCATACAAAAGAACCACACAAACCCAACTATACTTGAATATAATGGAGCATAAGTGAGAACTTCAGAAAATTGATTAAAGTTCAGCACTCAGGTGATGAGCAGAGAAACAGACAATTTCTCGTCATAGAATGAAACATAATCATGAATTTCATAAACTGCAAAAGGCAACAAATAATCAGAGCATATGCATGTTAAATTCTCAGGTTAAAATACGAAGTATCAATATCTTATTAAACCAATATACCAACATAATTTCAGTTCCTCAGAATGTTTTGGATATTTTCGACATATAATACAAAATCTATGTAAGTATAAATAAACACTGATGGGTGACGAAAATAAAATAATTAAGCCCATGTAATTCTGTCTGTTTACTAATTAGTGTCAATCCTTTTCGCTTTGCTGGACAATTCGTATTCTCCATGTCTGCCTTTCTGGCTAAAATGCTAATACTCATAATTGGCATGGTTAGGCTAAAAAAAACAACTGAAGCATCCATTTGGCATGGTTAGGGCATGTACAACCTACAGACGGGGGTCCGTCTCTAAGCGCTTTGATTCTGTTGTACAGACATGTATAAAGACATGTCATACAACCTAACAGACGGGCTCTGTCTCTAAGCTGTTTAATGTTTTGCATGTAGCTAGGATCAACTATAAATAATTTTTTGCATACCATTGTGTGGCTATTTGATAGAAAATATATAATAAGGATAAATAAGAGCAACATGATTACAATATATTTTTTAGAAACCATTGATATAATAATTGTGCTATACATAGTCGCAACGCCTTCTGTCTAATTTCCTTTGTTTCCATGACCCGTTGCCATATGTGCTCGATTAGATCCTTCTTGAGTTTTCTATGTGTTGACCAAGCTCTGCTAGTGGAATTTCTAGTCCATTGCTTTTGGAGGACGTAAATATTCTCTACCAAAACATTCAATCACTCGTTTGGCAAATTTTCCCAAGATGATCAAAAAGTCCCAAGATGATCAAAGAGGGAGTGAGTTCACACAATGTAGACGGTGATCTTAATTTTATGAGAACAAATAGCATTACAGATAGAAACATATTGGTAGCCTTTGTCAGATTCATTCATCAGAAAAATCAGCATCTAAGTGTCTCCTTGTGCTCATTGTCCTCTGCCTTTTTTGCTGAAAAGTTGAGAAACAAAGAGTGGAAAAGATGTTAGGAACATGGGCACTAAAATCAGCATACGGCAGTGAAATCAACACATCATCATTCAGAAAAGTTTCAGGACATTCAGAAACTTAAACTGAACAAAAGTACAAAAATATCACCACCATCCATCCAGTTTAATTGAACAAAAGTAAAACTGAAACTTAACAGTACAGAAATATCACCACCGTCAATCCAGTTTATAATTGAAGAAAAATTTAACTGAAATTTAACAGTACAAAAATATCACCACCATCCAGTTTTCAGAAACATAACTGAACAAAAGTTTCAGGACATTCAGAAACTTGACAGTACTCCTATTTCTAAAAATTACACGTATCTCAAAGCAGCCTACCTATATATAATTAAATGTTTTCTCAGTTATTATTCATTTGGTCCCGCTTGGGCCCTACTGGCCCCAGATCGTGCCCAGCCCAGACCCAGTTCGGAGCTTTCCTGCGCCGCCGCGCGTCCATCAGCAGACCAAGAGGAGAAATGAGTTCTAGCTCCACGGCAGTGAAGCTCCATGCACGGACTCTCCAGCACTAGTCGATCTCATCTCCATCTCCGTTGGATGCCCTTTGTTCGGTGCCGTTGCGTACTCCTGTTTTGTGTGAGGAGATCCGCCGGCGCCGCTCTATTCCACGTGAGGAGGTTTGCCGCCGCCGCATCCTGATTATGGTCGTCAGTTGCCCGCTTCAGCCCGTGGAAGAGCTCGGCATGGAAGAACCGCCACCAAGGCAGCAGCCTCTAAATCCATTGCCGTCGTGACTTCTACTGGCACCGGCCGACTGCAGCTTACATCAAAATATAGCCTCACCACCAGACCTCCATCACGGCAACAGCCAGCGGTGGACGTCCATCAGTGGCGGCGGACTTCCTCATGCAGGCAGCAACTAGCGGCGAACTACCCCGGCACACCGACGCGAAACGGAAGAGCCAGGAGCTTGCGAGTCCACAATGCCTCACGAGAAAACGAAAGAGCGCCGGTGGTCCGGAGGCCGGAGGGAGACAGAGGCGCAGGAAAGCTCCGAGCACGAGGATTTTACAAACGCACTGGGTTTGGGCTGGACACGGGCTAGGCCCATGCGGGACTTAGATGGATAGTAATTAAAAATATTTAATTTATTAAACGGACCGCTTTGAGATATGTGCTATTCTTACAAAGAGGAGTACCGGAGCCATTCTCATTCTCATAATGAGAATTTAAAATATTTGTTTGAAATGAAATACAAAAGGATGATTAGTAAAAGAAACAGTAAACATAACGGTTCCAACTTAACTTGAGGATAAAAAAAATATATACTAGCTAGTAAGATCAAAATATGAAAAATCAGAATTTAGATTTGTGACGTTGTGAGACAATACAACAAGAACCACCATGACATAAGCAAAGATTTCAACTAAATGCATGTCGACGAAGGTGCCATGCAGAGAGGAAAATGGATGTGCAAGGATAAAAAACATAGAAATCAACAATTGATATGTTTATCACAACTGGATAGAGGTCACGGAGTACCTATATGTGTAATATGGTAGAAGACAAACAAAGAAAAAGCATGCAAATTAATATAAGCAAATTTTATTAGTCCTAGGTAATAAACATGAACATTATTATCTAATGCTAGAACATGTTGATGGGCTAGTTAAATTTAAATCACAATACCATATAATCTACCAGAGTAACAATAGAAAAAACAACATTTCCTTGGCCAAACCGGTAAATAAAATTTGAAAGTCACTATTGCGAAAATGTACTCGAGGAATAAGGTGGGATCTTTAATATATTGCAAGCATTTTAATTTCTGCTATTTGACAATGAACATTAGCTTAGAATACTTCCTCTGATCCGGTCCACCAAACTGAGAAGTAGAAAGGAGAAAAATGTTCAGAAGAAAGCAGAATACGTGGAGAAAATAACAGAAAATTTAGGTCAGAAGACAGGGGAAAGAGAACATGCACACCTTTTTAGTTAGTCCATAATTCATAGCCGAATATGAAGAAACAAGGGACATTTATGTACGGTGACGAAAAGGGGAAACAGAGTTAAGCAAGAACGAAAAAGCAGAGCAAAGCAGCATCTTCATCCGTGTATGTTATGTTCCATCAGAGAAAGTATTCCCTAACTCTAATTGCCTGCATCGCTGTGGCTTTTGCTTCCTTCACCTCCTCTGTGCTGGCCCCTCCAGATCTGAACCAAATGCGGACATCCTGCAGCGAAGGCAGGTTACCCAGGCCCAAGTCAAAGCCACCGTTGATTTCTCTGGTCTGCCGCACAAGGAGTTGCAACTGAAGTTCTGTGAGCCTCGGCATAGCTCCTTGCTGAAACACAACAGACCCACTAAATCCCCGGAACGTGTAGCGTTCCAGGCATGGGAATGAACAATCACCAACAGCAAATCTCCCGTGAATCCCAAGATCCTCATGGTCCACTGTGAGATCTAGATACCAGAGAGCAGGCAATCTCCCAAGGATTTCAAGATCCTCCTGCTGCACCCTCCTCGCCCTGATGTCAAAGAAGGAGAGGTTCAAAAGGAGCAAGGGATTCACCCAAGCAGGCAGTGTAGATAACCAGCATCCCCGTAGTACCAATCTATGGAGAAGTCGAGGGTTGATGACGACCCAACCATCCAAGTTGCATCCACAAGAATGTATGATTTGTAGACTCTGGATTTTATGCAGCTTGTTTAGGCACTCAATGAGAGATTGATCCAAGCCGTCGTTCCATTTAGTAAAGCTGATAATCTCCAGCACCTTCAGCTCTGTAAGATGGCCCAACTCTTCTATTATGTCTCTGGAGTCATTGCGGATTCCTAATGATGAAAGATCTTCAAGGGCTGTCAGACTCCCAAGCCATTTCGGCACTTTCATCTCTTCATCTATGCGTAGGCACATCAAATTTGTTAGCTGAACAATAGTCAACGGCAAGCTAGTAATTCTGTTTCCTGCTACTTCTAATATTTGTAAAAACTGTAGGTTTCCTATTTCTTCAGGGAGCTGATAAATACATGTCCTTCTTAGTCCAAGGTACCTCAAATGAAGCAAATGTACAAGGTATCTAAGGCTATTACCTTGTGAAAGATCACAATCACGTAAATCCAGTACACGCAAAACTCTGAAGTTCTGGAGAGTTGGTATTTGATCAACAGCAGGTGGAAAGACAACAACTGACCTCACATATTCTATCTCCATAGTAGGCACCGGTTTACCATGACCGGCCATGACACTTTGAAGGGACAGCCTTCGAACTTTTTGTAATGGAAATGAGCCATTCCATATAGTAGCAAACTTTTCTTCACGTGACAAGGAACAGATAAAGATCAAGCACCATATCACGTACGCGGCAAGATTTTACTGTCCCACTATATTTGTCATATATGGGTTGGATCATACTTCTATTTATGAGCTCATTGAAGTAACTCTCCCCCATTACAAATAAGCTGTTTCCTTATTTTCTAAATTGGATAAAACCTTCAGCTATCCACAACCATATCAAATGATCTTTGTTGATTTCTTTATCTTCAGGAAACCAAGTTGCCTGAGCTAACTCGTCCATAAGCTGGTCAAACACCGGAACTGGGAATTTTGACTTGGCGGTCAGTGCATTAAGCTGTCTGAAATTCACGCAGAAACGGTAAGTCCCGTCCTTCTTGCGGACCATCAATACCGGGGAAGAGAAGGGACTAGAGCTCGGCTGAATCAACCCCTGAGACATCATGTCGCTCACTTGCCGCTCAATATCGTCCTTGAGCCCTAGCGGGTAGCGGTATGGAAGTATGAAAACTGGCTGGGCACCAGGAAGCAGAGGAATCTGGTGATTGCAAGCACGCGAAGGTGGAAGAGTGGTTGGTGCTTCGAACAGAGCAGCGTACTCGTCAAGCAAAGACTGAATTTCTGGAGGTGCGGTGGAGAATCAGTAGTGGCCAGAGCTGGATCAGATGGACTGCAAACTTGCAAATACAGGTGAGCTGGAGCAGTGTCCTGAAGGCCTTGGAGGAGCACAGATGTACCATGATAGGGAATCTGAAGCCATTTGCTCTGCCAATGAACCAACATAGGGCTGTGCGCCTCAAGCCAGTCCATACCAACTATAATGTCATAAGCTGTGAGTGGCAAGAGGCGGAAATCGGAAGAGAATGAGTACTGACCAACAGTCCACTACAACTGAGATAGAATACAGGGGCTCTGCAAGCAACTGCCACCAGTGACTTGGACTTGGCTTGGAGAGGGCAATGAGATGACGCCGGTCAATTTAGCAGCCACAGACTCGCTGATGAAAGAAGTCGAACTGCTAGAGTCAAGTAGAATTAATACAGGCTGTCCCATGACTGAACCCTGCATGCGTATTGCTCTGGTGGAGTGAACACCCTGAACTGCGGCTTTGGAGATGGCCAGAAACAACTGAGTAGCTGCAGCTGGGCTACGAGCATCTTCGGATTGTGGCTCAATTTCAGAGAATGAATCCCACAATGCCTCGACAGCCAGCAACACCTCCGGGGGACACTTGTGGTCCTTACTCCTCTTGCCAGCACACTTGTAACAGAGGCCCATTGCTCGGCGGTAGGCTTTGACAGCGGCGAGTGTGGCGTCAACCGAAGGAGAAGTAGCAGATGTGGCGGTGGCTGCTAGCGGGATGAGGTGAGGTGATCAACGAGTTCAGAGAACTCAGAGACATAAGCAGCAGCGACTGTAGTCTGCTGGCGCACATTGAACAATTGGCGAAGAAGGGCCTCATGCTGATCGCGATCGAAACGATCATGCAAGAGTTTGCAAAACGAGGACCAAGTTGCGTGCTGTAACTGGGAAGAGATGGGCTGGAACCAACGTGCGGAGGGGCCTTCAAGATGCATCTCCGCAACATTGATCCACATACACTCAGCGACCTCATACATGGAAAAATACTTCTCACAGCGAGTTTGCCAGAGACGGGGGTTGTCGCCGTCGAATTTTGGGAATGGTAATTTGGGCAAACGGCCGAGATGTGAGTTGGGTCGATTTGAGTCTGGTGGACGCGGGGGGGCAAGTTTGGGGTGGCGGAAAGGTGGGAGTCGACTGAGGAAGAACGGAAATCAGCGGTGGAGAAGACACCACAGGAGGGGAATCGGAGCATGTACCCTTGGCCGGGATGTGTGTCCAGGTCACGACGACCCCGGAACGCACATCCCGTGTAGTCGAGTCGATGCAGTGCCCATTGGGCCAGTCGGCGAGGAGTTCGGCAGATGAGCGCGCGGCCGCCGAAGTTTGGGACGGGAGAAGCCTGGACAGGTGCGACAGAGTCGAACACCCTGCGGTCCTTCTGCCTGATGAGCTTCTGTACCTCCATTTTGATGTCGTCCGGCGTAACTTCCATGCTGGGGCGCCAGGAGGCGAGATCCGCGGTGTGCGCGCTGGAGCCGAGTGTAGTGGTGGTGAGTGGGAGGGATTCCAGGATTGGGGACAAGGTATCTGATACCAATTGTGATGAGCAATCGGTTCAGCAGAGAAAACTTGGAAGAGGGGAAGCAGGAAGCAGGAAGCAGGGAGAGGACAGGATTGTATTAGAGTTTATTTACAGAGTTTGGCTTACAAATTTCTGCCTCTCTCGTTCGTTGCAAGCACATAAGTACTAGGTAGTGGAGCCACTCCGGGCCGACAACCTTCCTACTGGGCTTCACCATCCCCAAGGGCCTTGGCTCGGCAGCTGGTCCCTGGATGTCGCCTGCGACTTGCTCCTCATCAGGCATGAACGCGGTCAGAACCGGAGTGCTGCTGACAAGTCTACAGATCGGGATCATTTCTGGTGGCTGCAATTTGGATGGTTCGGACGTTGTCTGTCGCCCCACGACATCTCCGCAGTTTGAACATATGGAGCTCCTGCTGCTTGGGTGAAGGTGGCTCCTTGCGGACCTCTCCAACCTCTGCATGCACGTGAGAGGGCTGCAGCAGGACGATCTCGAAATCCTCGGAAGGTTGCCTGCTCTCTACCGTCTAGAATTGACGGTAGGCCATGAGGATCTCGAGATCCAAGGAAGATTCACCATTAGTGCTTGTTCATTCCCAGGCCTGGTACGGTGCGAGTTGAGCATATTTGGAGGGCCAGTGGTGTTTGAACAAGGAGCTATGCCGAGGCTCACTCGTCTTGACTTGACTGCAGTCTTTGTCGGTTCAGTTACGATCAGGAGGCGCCAGCAAGGAGGAGGTGGAGGAAGCAGTGGCTGCGGTGAGGCACGCTGTTGAAGTCCACCCCAATCATCTCACCCATCACATAGCGATGAAACTCCATTAAGGTAATAATTTTTGTTGTACTTGATGCTTGCTCTGCTTAGAAGTTAGAACTACTTCTTCCTTATCTCCCTTTCCCCTTGTGCCAACCTAAATATCATTTGTTTCTTCTAAGATTTCGGGATAAACTATGGATAGATCACGAGGTGTTGCAATTCTCTGTTGTGCTCTCAAGATGAGAGAAATCAACGGTGGTCACAACTTGGGCTTGGGGAACAGGAACCTGCTGTCACTGTTCGGTTCCGATCGGGAGGTGCCAGCAGGGAGGAGGTCTTCTCCTTTCCCCATTTCCTCTGATGTAAACTCCCATGTTTCTTCTCTAGCTGTTCCGTGCTTCTTGCTTCTCTGCTTTTCCCCTCTCTTTACGTCTCAGAATTGGACGTTCCACCAACCAGATCAGAGATAGTATTTCAAGCTAGCGTTGATTGCCAATCGCAGAAATTAAAATGCTCACCTGTGGACAGTACCAATAACTCGGGCCCTTCAAGTAGGTGAATCTTGCATTGCATAGGTAATACTTGTTTTTTTTATCAAGGATCTTACCTTAGTTATTATTCCGGTACATCTTCTCAATAGTGATGTTCATGTTTATTTAGTGGTTTGGCCAAGGAAACGTTGTTTTGCTATTGTTACTCTAGTAAACTATGCTGATGTAATATAGATTCAATATTCAAAAAGTATGAATCACATCTGTACAGAAGCATACTACTAGTTGCAAAACAACAGACTGGTTTATGAAAACTTGATGGCAATTTATACGAGAGCCCACTTAATTACCATTTGCTCATTGGCACCTGAGAACACATTGATAGCTTTGAATAATCCGTCTTGGTTTATACTGCAAATTCTTCTTTGGTTACTGCTAATCCGTGAGTCATCTTTGTGGCAACAAATATTTCATGCTGTCAGCTTTGTGAGACTCCTTAAAATTATTGGTCACTGTTATCACTTATCTTGTTCGTGCTCTGTTTTTAGAAGAACCACAAGGGCAAAATGAGCCTAAATATTATATATACTAACAAAAAAAAACCATTTGCATAAGAAATAATACAAATTAGTTCCAGCAAAAGCTTGTAGGCATTCACTAATATATGATTTATCTTGTTGAGAAGCAACAGTTTGATGACACTAATAATGCGCTGCATGAACTGTTTTTTTTTTAACATAAATGGCGGGAGCTCTGCCTTTCAATTAAGAATGAAAAGAGAATTTTAAGATACAACGGCTCCTAGGACGTGAACCCGCAATGTAGTCAAGGATTGGCTCTGCCACCCGACAGCCCTTATACCATGATTGCAATTACACTACCTTAGGTGATCACCCGAAAAGCCCTTCTATACTCCTCTAGATTTTCTTTAATGCGGGTTGCTACTTCCTGAGCTATTAAGAACTTTTGATCGAAAATTCTTCGATTTCGTTCCTTCCAAATATTCCACATGGTGTAGATAATCAATCCATTGAAGTGTCGTTTTTTATCCTTTGGTACGGATCTTGCCGCCTTCTCCCACCATTTACCAATATTATCAAATTGCACCAGGTGAGCAGCTTGAAGAATATTGAAATTCTCCCAAGTTGAGATTTGGTTCCACACCACTTGAGCATATGGGCAGGTTAGGCAAAGGTGTAAGCCGGTTTCCAATGGCCCGCTGCAGAGAGCACATGAGTTCTGGTGTGGCCATCCTCTGAGTGCTGGGTTGTCTGAGGTAAGGATCTTGTTCTGTATTAGTATCAAGCAAACAATTTGCATTTGTTCTCGGTATGTGCTCGCCATATTAGTTTGGTTTGATGCCGATTGTATGTCCCAATAAATTGAGCTCGATAGGTTCATTGAGCAGAGTACTTTCCATCAGCTGTCCATTTCCACTTGATTTGGTCCTCCCTCTCAGGTTGTAGATGCACAAGTTGAATCCTGATCCATAGAGAGACAAATTGCACCACATGTGTGGCGGTTATTATTTTGTGGTGAAGCGTTTTGATCTAGGCGCTATTATTCAATTCTTGCTCGACCGTCTTATTTTTTCTTTTGACCAAATCAAACAGATGGGGTGCAAGGTTTCGTGGGGCCTTGCCATCAAGCCAGCTATGATGCCAGAACTTCGTCTTCTTTCCATTGCCAATGAAAACAGTAGTGGAGGCGTTGAAGAAAAATCTGTCTACTTCATTGCATGGGACGTCTGTACCAGACCATGGCTTATGATCATCAGACCATTCTTGCCAAAGCCATCGCACGTGCAGAGCTCTACCGAATTTGTCTAGGTTGGTCACTCCTAGACCGCCCATGTCCTTGGGCTTGCTCACAGTTGGCCAGTTCACCATGCAGTGACCGCCGTTGGCATTATCATCGCCTTTCCAAAGGAACGAACGACGAATTTTGTCAATTTATTTCCTTGCCCAGACTGCTAGCGGGAAGATAGTTAAATGGTAAGTCGGCATGGAGGAGAGCACCGAGTGGACCAAAGTAAGTCTCCCTGCGCGGTTGAGAAGCCGTCCTTTCCATCTTGGAAGATGATTGCCAATCTTTTCAATGAGGGGTTGCACGTGCACTTTTTGTAGGGAGCGAGTGTGAAGCTGCAGACCAAGGTAGCGGCATGGGAAGGTATTGCAGGCACCCGGGAACGGTTCAAGTGCATGATCCAGATCAATGTTTTCATATCATAGTGAATTGGGTGGATTGAACTTTTTTCCAAGTTTGTGATTAAACCTGTGACTTCGCCAAACATTTGGAGCATGTCCTTTACTGCTTGCAATTCCTCTCGATTTGGATTTAGGAAGATAGCAGCGTCATCAGCATAAAGAGAAGTACGCAGTTTCACTGTAGCTAGTGGCAGCGGTGTAATGATACCGTTCTGAGTTGCGAGATCAAGCATTTTTTGCAGCGGGTCAATGGTGAGAATGAATAGTCTAGGTGATAGTGGGTCACCTTGTCGCACACCTCGTTTGTGACTGAAACTACTTCCCTGACTACCATTGAGAAGAGCTCTTGAAGTGGCTGTGCCAAAAAGGATAGAAATCCATTCACGCCATCTTGGCCCAAAACCAAGAGCCTGTAGTACCTCCAGCATGTAGCTCCAATTGATGGTGTCAAAGGCCTTTTGTATGTCCAACTTCATGAAGAGGGCTGGCATTTTCATTTTGTGAAATCTCCTCACCGTGTTTTGGATGTACAGAAAGTTGTCCTGAATGCACCGGTGTTTGATGAATGCACTCTGGCATTTGGAGACCAATGTGTTTAGATGAGAGGAGAGTCTGATGGCTAACAATTTGGAGAAGATATTTGTAATGCTATGAAT